GAGCCAAGGGCTAATCCACCACAACCTCTAACTGGTCAAATGGGAGATGGAGAAGGAGCAGTTAAGTGGTCTAGTCTCAGGTGCTTCTTTGGTCTCCTCTCTTTGCACAAGGGTAATGGCAATAGGAAGGATTAGCTAAAAAAGTTACTTACTACTTGGGACATGCCCAGTTAGCTAGACCACAAAGAAAATGGTCTGCTGAAGAAGAACCTTGTAGTCTTAGATGCAAACTTGATGGTTGTCCTGCCCTTTATTTGGGGGTTTCATGTGATACTTGAAAAGAAGCAAGAGCAGAAGAGTTCGTGTGTGTTTATTCTGGTACCAGCTCATACAGTTCAACATGGCCTAAGTACGTTGCGTTTAAGATTGGATCTAGCTAAGTTCACCGCAAATACGCTATATGATATATACCACCATCAAGAACTCAGTAAAACTAGATAGCAAATTTTACTGATCAGAACCTTTTCCATGCACCAGAGTATTTCAAGCTGTGTGTGAAAAATCTCAGATCTCTTCTGGCTAGCAAGTCTTTTCTCATTGCTAATCTACTTCTAATAATTGTGGAGTGCATTCACAATTGTCACAAATAACTTACTGTTATGATCCAGTACTGGAGATGAAATAGTAGCTTATCTGTAATTTTCAGTGCACTGTGATACAGCAGTGGAAATTTCTGTGTAGGAGCAGAATTTAACTGTTTCTTGGCTAAATTCCTATCAGTATCTGATAGAATTGTCAACATATAAATGTGTCTTATTTTTCTTTGAACAGTGCAAGTGAACACCATAACTGAGAGTTCTTTGAACTGATTAGATAAAAGACACTGTTTTGATTGAAAATTTGGGTTAATAAGAGCATTTGTGATCTGAAACGCTAAAACCTTTTATTTTCTTTCCCCTTTTGTTACACCCCTTCCAAATCCACAGTGTGTTAGTGTTTTTTACTGTTCACGAAGATCTTATCATACATGTATTGCAGTTCTAAAATAGTGCTAGTGTGGTTTTTTTCCGTTCAGTATGTGACTTGAGTAGAAGCATTGTTTCCTCATGAACACAAGCATGAAAAATACTACGCCTGCTGTATTTACAGCTGAGACCACAGTGGTGCTTTCTTAATGTCTCATTAAGGGCTGAACTTGGAGCCTTGTGTAGTGGAATTCTTCTGTGCCCACACTCTAATGTCTGTGCTCAGTGGTGCTTTATCAGGTGCCCACTAGCACTGATAAGCAGCAGTAACCTTTCAGTTATTATGGTTTGTGTGTTCTTCAAAGTATTTTCCTAAGAAATGTTGCACAGTGCGGAGAGACAAGACACACAGAACAAAACTTTCTTGTGTTCATAGTGTGCGTGTCTTGGAGCTGATCGGGTAACTGATAACTCAAAATATCCGTTGCGAGCCATTATCTCCTTCCCAGAATACAACAGGCTGAGCTATGGGCTTATTTGAGGGCTAGACTAAAATGTGTAGCTATTACATGACGGTTGAAGTTGGAAGTGACCTCTGGAGGTCATCTTATGGATGTGTGCAGGTTCTACCAATACCTGGGCAGCCATGGTCATGTGCTGAAGTATATAATTGTCTCTTATACTAGATACTGGGGTATTCTCTGCCTTCTCTTGAAACCTAAACGTGCAGTAAACAAAAACTTATAGCTTGTTTAAAAAAAAGTATTGTGACTCAGTATTACAGCACTCACTACTTCAGTCACATATGAAGATAGACATGAAGATAGATTTCTCCTATAGATTTCTCCTAGCCCTTCCTTGATCCTCCCTGACTAGTCTTTTCAAAGAACAATTTTATTGTTTCTTATTAGAGACATGATATGCCTTTTTGTAATACCAGAAGATGTTGGCAGTTTTCTTGGCCAAAGCATAAAAACTGCTTAGATAATATAAATGTGACTCCTTTTGTGCAATGCTTTAAAATCGGGTTTGTTGCAAGTATAATGTGAAGCTTTTGTATGAGAAATAAGAATGGATTTTATATGAAGGAATAATAATACACAGTTTCACTGTTATGTGCTTGATTGGAGGCTTTGCTGTCATGGTTGTGAACGTGTTTATTAATCTGTCACTTGTTTTAATGTGTATTTTCCTTTTTTCTTCCCCACTTCTCAAGGTGGGTGGAGGAAGAGTGGGGAGAAGTTTCTGGTAAGTGCTGCTGGAGACAGCAGAATCTGATGAGGGAGACATTAATAGCTAGAAAGAGTTCTTAGGTTTATTCCTGCATTTCTAGGAAGGTTATCTGAAGAACAAGTACTCAAAGGTGTTGGAGCAGGGCAGTATGTAGGCTCATTCTTTACTGTCATGAGCTTCATGTATGTCTGAGAGGGCTTTCCATTTCCTCAGTTCTGGTTTAGTGACGTCAGTATAGGCTCAGCAAATGAGTGGTTTGTAGCTGTATGTATTAAATTAAAACTTGTTAACTGGTATTCTGCTTCTTGACATGGAGATGCTAGAGTTAATTCTATGTAAAGTGTTCAATGTAGTAGCATGGTAATTCTTTTTTGGTCCTCGGTGTTCTTACCACTCTAAATGGATCACACACTTTTTGCTTGATTTAGTTTAAGCCTGAGTGCCTGAATACAAATAATCAGGAAAACAATAGATCCATCTGGTCAAAGGCTGTGCAAATCTCCCCAAGAAGCTACGGCCATTAGTTCTCCTCTACCCAGGAGAGCTGCAGCTCAGCAAAATGGATAATTCCCAGTTATGTTTCATTTTGTCCTCTGTTTAATGTATATAACATTAGATACATATATACACACAAATAAATAGATGAAAAATATATCTATGTAACATGTCTATCTTTTTTTAATCCCTTCTGGAGACAAGAAAACCTACTATTTAAGAAAGCTGTGTGTTAAAGGTAATGATCTGCAAACTGATAATGATTCTGCCTACTGGTGGAAAGCTTATGCCATACAGGATCTCCAGATGTGTTGCAGATACACCTCTTTAATGAGCAGTTCATAATGCAGAGTTTGATAGAAGCACTGGCATGAGTCTGTGCTAATGACCTCTGTGTAAGGTTGACATAATCTGTTTGTGTTTTTTTTTTTTTTAATCTGTTTTTGTGTTTGCTGCTGATTGTTAGGGATATGGATGACACCCTTTATAAGTGACAGTTCTATAAATATCTGTGATGATGGTATATTCAGTAGTAATGTATCAGGAGGAGGAGGAATTTAGTAAAGTATCTCACATTGAACTTTCTTACTTTGTCCCTTCAGCATGGAACATACTTCTTGAAAGCATAATTTGCATCCAGTCTGTTTTGTGTCTTATTTAATGAATGGGGGTTTTGCCCCTTACCTCACTGGGACTGAACCTCTAATTGCTTAAATGCTTTCTAAGCCCTCTGGGCTGCAGGCTGCTTCACAAATACTGCTTCAGCTGGTTTGTTGAGTAGTATTCTCTGAATGGTATTCAGGGTCTTTCTAGTGTATTTGTTCTTTATCCTTGTTACCTTGGATAACTAACAGACTTTGCTTAGAGTGCTTCCTGCAGATTTCCTACAGGAAGTGTAGGAAATATTTAAGTTCATTTTAAATGTTTAGGTGTTTGCCTGGCTTGGCAAAAGAAGACTGCCTCTTGAAAAGCAAGCATGTGACAGGTGATTTGTGTATATACACATGTATATGTAATATGTATTGACCAGTTAAGATTTCTGCATTGTAAGGCTGAGAGCTGAATTGGAAAGAAAAGCCACAAGTTAATCTTTGTCCGTGGAACTGATCTTTTCTGCACCTGTCATCCTTCCCTTTTAAACAGGGAAGAGTGTTTGGGAAGAGACTTCTCTTCCCTCTGTCTCCCTGAAATGCTACCCTGCTACCCTCTATTCTAGCAGCATCACCTTACAACGAATAGTAGAATAGTTTGCAGGGAAGTGAATAATTCATTTTCTGAAAAATTGATGAAAAGACAGCTAAGTCTGAGCTTCAGGAAATACTATAGCTGAGACCAGTAACTTGTCGTAGAATAGTATACACCTTCACGTTAAGGAATAAAGTCTCCTGTGCAGTAGAAGTCACTGTATTTAAAATCTTGTAGCTCTTTTTCTAAAAGACTAGATGTTTGGTTTTTAGTGCTGTAGAACTGATTCTTACTGACTGCTAACAGTTTACTCTGACTGAAGGAGAATACCTTAATTGTCTGTGTAAGTTTGTTTCATATTCCTTGAAATCTGTGAGGTGTGCCTCATGCAAGGAACATAGGGGAAAAGCTTAAAACTTCTACTGTGTCATTCTTTCTTTTTCTGTTTGCACAAGTAGACGGGTTTTTTTTTTATAACATGAGTATCCAGTGCCCTCTCTTAGTCTATACTCTCTTAATCCCATACAAGCTTTTTTTTTTTTTTTCCCCCCCAAGGAGCCCTTTGAGGATGGCTATGCAAATGGTGAGGAGGGCACTCCAGCTGGGGAAGCAGCTGCCACTTATGCACCTGATAGCAAAGGGGTGGTCAAGTTTGGCTGGATAAAAGGTGTATTGGTAAGCTTGATATATTCTACTTCAGAATGTTGCTGACCATTTTGTTCCAAAGTCTGTTAAAGTTTTGAGGGGGATGATCTCCTTTTCAGTGGTTTGAAAGTTAAATTAGTATTTCCCAGTAGGCATGAGCCACCTGGGTGAATATTTGTACCTCAGGTGATTTACATTTTGCAGAAGACTTTAAATCTCTGAAATCTGTTTCCTTTTGTAGTTTGGAGAGGTCTACCTTAATCCTGGTGACCAGCTAAACTTTTGTAGGGATTGATATAAAACTCTTTAGGTAAGAGAGAGACCTAAGACCTGCTCATAGTCTTCTGTCTAAATTCTGTACAGTGCAAACTCTATTGAGGACTGAGAGTTTAAAATACAAGAATAAAAAAATAAAGTCTGCCGCCATCCTGTTAGTGTGTGGCTGTCTTGTAAGATATAAAAGTGATAAGACTGGGAAGTTGTGGAGGTGGGTTGTTTTTTGAAAAAAGAATACTAGGGTATTTCTGTAGTGCATTTTGGGGGGGGAGGTTTGTGGGACATCTGAACTGGTGTTATAGACCTCACGATCATTGTAGACTTCACAAGCTTATTTTTAGTCATGTATTCTGTAGAATGAATTTTGGATCCTATAGGTCAGGATCTAAATTATTTTTGTTGTTTGGTCAAGACATACTACAAGTGTCAGATATTGAAGTACTGTAACTTTATCTATGTTCAAGGTAGTAACTTCTTAAAATTATATTTAAGTTCCCTTTTATTTTTTTTATCCAACCTAACCTTGCCTAATTAAATCTATTATTGTAAAATAATTTTGAAAGTGGTGAGGAGAGACTGCAAGATAATTTCATCAATATTAAAAACTGAAATGAAGAATTAGTGGGAATGACTGCAGATGTAAGACCTAACCTATGTCAAATTTCTGTTTTTCTTAGGTACGATGTATGTTAAATATTTGGGGTGTGATGCTCTTCATCAGACTATCATGGATTGTAGGACAAGCTGGGATAGGTATGAGTACTAATGCTATAATTTTATTTCAGTGACTTCTAGATGTGATCCAGAAGAGGTGTTGACCCTGAGCTTACACTTTAAATGGGTAGAAAATGACCTCAGTATTGCCAGTTTTTAAGATCATTTACCCTTATTGAAACTTTAAGCAGTATGAAGTTACTTACACTTTTTCCTTTAACTGTAAGGTATGTAATTTAACATTGACATTTGTAAGTCTTCAGTGAACTGTAGAGATAAACTTTTGACTTCTGGTTATTAAAATCTGCATATAGACTTTGTTGTGTGTAAACAATTTTCTTCAAAGGCTTAACTTGGTACTGGACTGCAGAAAATCTCTCTCCAAAAGGCATGTGTTTTCTTGAAGCTCAAGGATACAGCTTTTACTATGCTGATTAAAGAGAACATTTATCCAGTTTTGTTTGTATCCTGGAAACTTCTCTGTACAAAAGGGGAGTAAAGATGCCTTGAACTTGAATGTGGGGGACCACACACAGTAAATTTGTGTTGTATTTGCAAGACTAATTCTTTAAACCAAGGTGATGATTTGTACATTTTAATACGTGTGGACTTAGACATTTCTTTCTCTCTTTTTCCCAAAGGTCTGTCTGTCTTGGTTATTGGAATGGCCACTGTTGTGACAACTATTACAGGACTGTCTACTTCAGCAATAGCCACAAATGGGTTTGTAAGAGGAGGTAAACCTGCTTTCATAAAACCTTTAAAGCTTTCATCTCTCTGAAGTGCTCACCTCTAAGGATGGAACCTCTGATTTATTTTCCATGTTTTTATCATCAAGGAAGAAACAGTATGGATGAAATGTAGGGAAGAGTTAGTCTTCTGAGGAGCAGAGTCTTCCATATGCTCTATATTTGAGTAACCAGTCATTTAAGTAACAAAAAGTCAATAATTAGCTTGCTAATGTGATTTGACTAGTGGCTTGCTTTTCCACTGTGGAGGAAACATTATCTATTTTTTATTTTTGGCATACAAACATTTTTAGAGACACATATCCAGGAATGAATAGGGACTTAATATTCTCCTGCATCTACACTGATTGGCTAAGGGTGTGCATGTGTGCTTATATGTGTTCATGTCCTGACATAAAACTTACTAATGAAAGAAAACATCCTATAAAAAGATAAGCTGTATATGTGATCACATGAAAGGACATGTTCTTCTTTTCTCATGATTTTTTTAATGCACAAATTCTCTAAAAACCTGGTTACCTCCAGCTTTCCTGAGGGTGATGGTTTTCATTCTCTTTCATGGTTTACATGCTGTTGTCAGCAATTACTACAAAATAGTAGTAGTACTACTTTTGTAGTAGTAGTAGTACTGGTACTTTTGACATGCTCAAACTGGTTCGTGACATTACAAGGCTGCTATTAGTAGAAAATGTGTTGGAGTTAAAAGGGAAGTGTTTAAAACTCCCTTGATAAAGAATGAAAAGTCACTGTCACAAAGTAAACAGACCCAACAGAAGGGATCAGATATGAATCTTAGTTCTATGCCAAACTTAGTTTCTAAATGCCCTTTCTTTTTTTAAGTTGCATTATACAGATTAGACTGTCCTTATGAGAGCCTGTATTTTTTTCGAGTTGCTCTTGCAGAATACTTCATTAGAAAATTTGAAGTGCTGAATGACAAGAACTGTTGAATAAAATCAGTTATTTCTATGAAAATCTTACATTACAGTAATATTTGTCTTATGTTGACTTTCTCATTTGCTAAGTATGTCAAAGCTGGGTACCTGCATGTATTTTGAACAAGAACTGCAATGCACGGAAAATAAGGATCTCCCGTTGCAAATTTTTCATGTCCTCTTAGTTACTTCAGATGCGAGCTGGAGGCTTTGTTGCTTCTAGAAAGCTTGTCCTTAAATTGGAGGAATGTGCCTTTGCTACATGCTGTAGATGCTTGGCTTTCCATTTGTCATGTGAGGTTTGAGCTGTTGTATTTGTCAAGCTCAAAAATCCAATGAATTGGTTCTGAAAAATAGAGTGGCCCTGTGATTGTTTTGAGAGTCTTATTGGAGGGCAGAAAATTCCTTTAACAACAGAGCTTTAAGAAACAGGTCATGGAGGTTTGGAATTTGGGTGGGTTTATTACAGTCTACTTCGCCAGGTTCTTGAGCTATAGCTAATGAGAATGTGTGATTGTAGAACTATGCACAAATGCTTTGTGTGGTTTGAAATAAGTAGGAGTGTTACCATTATTATTGTGTTTTACAGTTTCATTTTTAACCGTAGAACTGGTTTCATAGTTGAACAATATGTGGTAGATGAGTCAGGTGGTTATTTCCAGCTGGTGTCTTTTCTTAAAAACTTGAAATGCATTCCTGAAACTTCAGCATGTCTGTCCCTAAAATAGTGAGGTTTGGGTTGTTTTCTAATACATCAGGGAAGATGCAAGAATAAATAGCATCTTGTTCATGTAAACTTTATATTGCTGATGACTGGCAATTCTTAGGCTCTTTTAATGTAGTGGGTTTTTTGTCTTTTTTTCCTTTCAGGAGGAGCATATTACTTAATTTCCAGAAGTCTGGGGCCAGAGTTTGGTGGTGCCATAGGTCTGATTTTTGCATTTGCCAATGCTGTTGCAGTAGCAATGTATGTTGTTGGATTTGCAGAGACAGTTGTGGAGCTGCTCAAGGTAAATGGATGATAGTGGTTACATTGATTATACTGTCCTTTATGCAATTTTGAGCTGTCATCTAATCATAGAATAGTTTGGGTTGGAAGTGACCTTAAAGATCATCTAGTTCCAACCCTCCTGCTATGGGCAGGGACACCTTCCACTGGACCAGGTTGCTCAAAGATGCATCCAGCCTGGCCTTGAACACCTCCACGTCCATCGTTTTTTTGATCATTTTTGTGGCCCTCCTCTGGACTTGCTCCAACAATTTGCCCTTCTTATGCTGGGGGCCCCAGAGCTGAATGCAGCACTCCAGGTGGAGTCTCACCAGAGCAGAGTAGAGGGGCAGAATCACCTCCCTCGACCTGCTGGTCACACATCTTTTGATGCAGCCCTGGATATGGTTGGCTTTCTGGGCTGTGAGCACACATTGTCAGCTCATATCCAATTTTTCATCAACCAGTACCCCCAAGTCCTTTTCCTCAGGTTTGCTCTCAATTCCTTCATTCCCCAGCCTGTATTGATAAGTGGGGTTGCCCTGACCTGTTCAAAGACATGGAATGGGATATAAGGTTACTGTACTATCAGTAAAAGTACTACTGTAATTCAGTAGCTTTTTGGTAAAAAATCATCATTGGTGTCAAACAGAAACTTCCCATGCTGTTTATCTCCCTGGAAAAATAAAATGTATAATTTGTGGTAAAGTCCAAGATGGCTATTAGGAAGAAGAGTGGCAGTACAGATATGTGACATGGAATCATAAGTTGTTAATGCTGAGATTCTTTTTAGTGAACTGTCTATTGTAAGTGACAGTTGTTTATATTAAGCTAATTTTCAAAGGATTTCTGCTTATTAAAAACAATTAAACACAACCAAGTATTATTTGTCTGTTGAATTTTTTGATTAAATATAATACCGAGAAGAACACAAGCATACTTTTTTGTGAATGGGAAGAAGTTTAGAGTGCATTAGAAGAACTAAGAATAATAGTGAACAATAAAGTAGATGTATAGGTGCAAGATGGTAGCAGTTGCCTTGCTGATTAACCAAATTCTGTGGCAGTTGAAGACAGGCCATTCTCTCTGGGGATGGACTATGGATAGGAACCATCACTTCCATTTAGAAGATTCAGTGATATAAAACAAGTCAAAAACCAAATTACTTGTGTCCATGCAGGGATTTTAAATTTGTGGTATAGAGGTTAAGTCTATTAATAAATTACAGTCAATAAAATGCTGTTCTGCAGGACGGAAGTAAGTACTTGGTAAAGTATCTGACTGTATTATGACTGTATTTGTTTGTTTGTTTTCTTAGGAAAATGGGACGTTAATGATTGATGAAATGAATGATATCAGAATCATAGGGGCTATCACAGTGGTTATATTGCTGGGTATTTCCGTTGCTGGAATGGAATGGGAAGCAAAAGTAAGGAAATATAACCTTTTCTTTTATTCTCTGCTTCATAATTTTTATTCAGTTTTCTACCTTAGCTGTTTGATTTATTTTTAATGTGTTTAGTGCACTCAGTATTGTACGCACGGTGTGTTAGAAGTCAGTCAGTGGGCAGCTTTTATGTAATGGCTCTCTGTCTAGCACACGAAGGTCTGGACAGCATTTCAGACCTTAGACCGCTTTGCTCCACTGGAAGCTTAAGCATCTATGAGAACCTAAAAACCATCATAATCACTTAATGACACTATAGAGCCTCTTCTAGGCAACTACAGCACAAGAAGAAAAGGTAAGAGCATTAGCATGGGAATTTCCTCTCACTGGGAATTCCAAATGAGCTCTGTGGATGGAAAATACAGGGTGGGAGCTAAAGCCAATCTAAAGTTGTGTAGCTTCTGCTAACTCAAAACCAATATTCTTACCTTCCCTTCCACTCTCTTCTAGTTTTGGTTTCACTTGGAAACAGACAGACAATGTGATGCAGTCACTAGGCCCAGCATTGAACATGGTTGTGAACATCAGTGATGAATGTGTAGGAGGGGGAACCTGCTTTCCTCATCTTGTGGCTGCATGGTCTTAGGTCAACTCTGATTATGGAAACAAACATGTACAGATCCTAGGATACCTTATACAGCAGCTGCCTTAGTAGTTTTCTGCTCTGCATTACTAGGCAGTGTAGCTTTCTCAGTTTCCTGCACCTGGTGGGTTTTTTCTGAATATCCATCCATAGTGTGCTCAAAAATAATTGAGAAGAGCCTTACTTGGTTTCACCTCCCATTTGATGTTTGGTTTGTGATAGCTCCGGTTTTCTGCAGTGAGAGGCAACTGAAGGAGTGTCTTATGTAAGTGAAGTTACAACATTTTCTTGTGCTCCTGCGTCAAGGTGATGATGATATTCATGATTGAAATGAGAGAGGGTTTTTTTCTTATTGTTGCTTCCAGCCCTAGAAATAGGGATCATAGAAAAAGGAAGTGAAGATCAAGTGCATGAATTGGATCTACCATAGGGAGGAAAAAATCTACAGAAATTGACTTTGGTGTGTACTTTTAAATCGAACAACACACTTCTGTAAAAATTGTTTACCTTTCTTAGGTAGCCTTTCACTGTCTATAACTTCAATGTGTAATGGTATCTTTATGCACCTGACTTCGAACAATACTGTGCTTCTTAATTTCAACCGTTTAGTTTTTCCTTTGAATTAATTAGTTGTTATTAAACCGCTGGCCATTGTCACTTAAAGGCACAAGAAATATCTTGCTTTTGCTCTGTAGCATGAGCAATCCTATAGCAATAGCTTGCATAGAAATACCCCTCTTTTTCTTTAATGTTTCCGTATCAAACCTTAATGGTGGTATCACTGCAGCATCACCCTTACTAGGAAATAAATAGCTTGCAAAAATCCTGTGTGCAATGCAAAAATTAAGGCTTCTTGTCTTGGTTTCTGCATCATGGAAGAAGGCAGGTAGGAATGATGATAAGCAACTGAACCTGCATGTCATGTGGGTCAATATACAGCTTACCAAAGCAAAACACTTAATATTTCTCTCTTGGATAAAGTATCTATGATGTTCTCCTGTGCCTTCCCTGTTACTTGGAGAATGCCTTGGAAAATGGGACAATAGGAATCTATAATAAAGCCTTTGAAGTAGATCTGAAAACTAAGAGAGACTGCGATTCCTGCTTAAAAAATGATTCTCAGTTCGTGATCTCTTACTACTCAGCTCCTTGTGTTGAAGTCTTAGAAGCCCATTTTTTTGTCTGAGACTTTTGAATGTAAGGAAGATACTCAGAAAATGTTCTTAGCTACAGGGAGAAGCCTAGATTTGTTCCAGATAAATTCACTTGTGGCAGTTGCTCTGTGGTAACTTCATTTTGAATTTGGTGGGCTTACTGAAGACTTCTTTAAGCACGGAGCTGCACCCTTACCACTCTCACCTATTCTCTAGGCTTGGCAAAGGAGAGATCTGAATATGATGCGCAAACTGGTTTCTTCAGTTGGTCTTCTAACTCTGCTCTTGGCTGTCGTGTTCTGTTTATGGCTCTGCTACCCTGTTTTCTTGTGAGGCTCTCTGAACGGAAAACTGTTCTGTAGCAGTCAGCAGCAACACCGCAGTGCCATTGCATATGGGCCTCAGCTTCCCCTGAGCCACTGACAGATGCCTTTATAAGGAATCAAATAACACCAAAGATATCAGGGCAGTGTGGTTGCTTATTTAAGTGTAAAACTTGAACCATCTTGTCAGTGCCTTTACTCACACTTTTGAGGCATTGGATGGTTTAATATACTTCTAGTTCCAAATGTAGGGCTTATAGTGGTTTTATTGAACAGTGGCTAAAAATCTAGGTTGTAATGAAAAAAGTCTAAAGAAAACTAGAAATTAACAAGTAATTGTCAGTTTACAATTTAGTTGTATAAAAAAGGGTTGAGAACATGAGAATGTAACAATCTAGTCTGTTGCATAAAGTAGCAAACAAAAGCAGTTTGATTCCTGATGTAATTAAATTCTTAGTAAAGTAAATATTGCATACTTATATACAAGGCAAAGTATTATGATCACTGTTAATAAGGTAATACTTGTAGCATTTGTGTGCATTTATCTCTTTTCTTGTGAATAACCTACTCAAATCCATTCCTTCTGAAAGGCTTATAGAGAAAATAGTTTTTAAGTATTTTGTCTTTAGAAGTACAAGTTTGAGGGATATGGTAATAACAAATTATCTTTTAAATGGATGTTACACTTACAAATTATTCCTATTTCTTTATTTAAAATCCTGGTACATGTTTTCTCCAGCTTGCCTTATTTATTTTGTAAAACAAACTGAGAAGACTAAGCTGAATTTGGAATCAAGTAAATATTTTCATTTTAAAACATAACATTGAAACTTGGAACTGTGAAAATGAGCAAGTTCTTCTGTCTGACTGCAATCATTATGTTTCAGGCACAGATAGTCTTACTGGTGATCCTCATAGTTGCTATTGGAGACTTTGTCATAGGAACATTTATTCCTTTGGACAGCAAGAAGCCTAAAGGTTTTTTTGGTTATAGAGGTATGTTGGAACAGTTAGTATTGTAAACAAAATATATGCAAAGAGGAGACATGCTGTCATAATTAAGTTAAACATAGCTTATAGTCCTGTTTAACTGTAGAGATTTTTTTTCCTGATTCTTTCAAACTTGTGCCGGTTTGTTCCTTAAAGGTGTTGGGCCAAACTTGTTTCTGCCTGCTTAATATTGATTATATTAAATGATAAAAAGCTGGATCATACTGTAAGTACTTTTTCTGGCTTTAAAGGTTAAGTTTACTCTGACTTTTATTTTGAGTAGAAGTGATGAATTAGGACTTACTAAGAAGGTCATACAGCTGTGACTTTCAGGTTTTTCATGGAACTAGAAATGGCTGGAATGGGCTAATACTGTAGTTTTTGTGTGAGTATTGATAGACTTAAATCTTTTTCTACAGCTGAAATATTTATGGAGAATTTTGGACCTGATTTCCGACACGGTGAAACTTTCTTTTCTGTGTTTGCTATTTTCTTCCCTGCTGCAACTGGCATACTTGCTGGTGCAAATATCTCAGGTGATCTTGCGGTGAGTAGTGAATTAGCAAACATTGTTCATAAACACTGACTGTACATTTATTTCTGTCATCACTGTCTACTGACATTTTTCTTTCAGGATCCTCAGTCAGCCATACCTAAAGGAACGCTGTTGGCCATCTTAATTACTACATTGGTTTACGTAGGAATTGCAGTATCTGTAGGTAAATAGAGAAGATTTTTAACTTTATCCTTTCACGTTCATTCTGAGGGTGTGTTTTGATACTGTTTATGTAACTCATTGTGTAAAGTCATTATGTAATTGACTTTGATGCATGGGAAAGTAATAGCTGGAGGTTTCTAACTTTTATTGTTGGAGGTCCGATTTTCATCTGGTTTTATAATTTTGTAACCAGATTTTCGTCTGGTTTTTGTAATTTTGTCACAATGACTAGTGACCGCTACAGACTAAGAATGACAAAAGACATCATAGCGTTGTTTCGTCATTTATTGCAGTTATATATGTTAAAATATTTTCAGTTTAGCAGTGGATTAATCCCTGGACTAGAAAAGTACGTTTTCAGAAAATACTCACTGAACAAACACATGTATTAGTTTGAAGATGATGGTAGTCACCTACTTACCCAAAGTGAATTGTGGGATGATCAAAGAGCTCTTTGGTGAAGATGCATGTTCCATTCCCCAGTAGAGCAGGGAGAGTGAGTAGTACCTTGATCTGGCCAGCCCACTTTCAGAAGTGTTTTCATCTTCAGGAGTGTTGTCTGTAGTTTTATTTTCATGTAGAAAGAAGACAAAAAATCAGACTGATCTGAGTCCTGTATAACCTTCCTGGTATTCCGCACCCAACAGTGGTTTTAAATTCTCTGTAGAAGTTGTCTTGGGGTTTGCTCTTGTATCAGTTTTGCTCTAGAGCACCAATAGTCAACCAGGTTTTTTCCCACCCATAAAATAATTCTATTTGAGTAACCTTAAGAACATAAGATTGTAATTGTATCTCACATATTTATTGCCAATGATTGTTTTTATTTGTGTCACAGAATTTAGCTTCTGGCAGCAGTAACCAGGTTTATTGTATGAAAGACCTTGCCTTATCTTAGGTGTGCTGCCTTGTGAATGAAATTCTCATTTATAAGAGTACCATTGATCTTACCACTAATGATACTTCCTTTCCAGATACCAATCTTGCTAGTCTGCCTCTGTGGGCTAACATTGTACTGTAGCTCTGCCAAATAGTGTCTCTGTAGTGATTGTGCTTTATGCAGCGTAATGACCTACACTTATTTCCTAATTAGATTGACTGCTTAGACCTCTGCTACCGAATTTGAATACTTTAGAATTTGAACCCACATGAGAGCAAAATGCTCATTAATATTAATTTGTTAATGGAATACTTTGATCATCTTTCAAACACGAAAAACCTAATTTTTCATATTGCAAAAGAAACACTTTGCAAAACCAACTGAACATGAAATTGATGCATCAGAAATGTCCTGTCTTAGTTGCCCCCTATAACTTACACTTAGAATTCTGCTAGTTAGAAAAGGCCAGTGCTATTGCAGAAGTCAGAGATTATGACATGAGTGAACTTCAGCTTTTTTTGAGGCATTAGATCAGGAATTGGATGAATACTTTTACTCATTTCCCCACACACTATTCCCCACTGTAAGTTTCCAGAGTTGTGACATAAGCAGGCCATTAAAACTTTGTAGCAGCTAGTAAATGTGACTGAGTAGTCATGTCAAGGGGAAGATGATGTTTTGAATTTAGCACAGTATTTGCAGGCTCTGTAGTAGGAGGGTTAAGAAACTGAGTAGAGAAGACTTTGAAGAGGAAATTTGCTATCCCTGCTAGAGCTGGGCAGCCTATTTCAAAAAGCTAACAACTGTGAGGAGAAAGTGTGCTGTTCCATATTTTAGTAAGGGACTGATGCTGATGTGCAGGTGGCAGGATGAAGATTGCATAGGCAACTTTTATATCAAATGTCTTGAAAGGCATATTTAAAAGAACAGCATTTATTGCTTTAAAAACAAGGGAAGCTCTAATAAAAACCTCCAAATTCTGGGCAGTGTTAAGACATGCTTTCTGTACACAGGGAAGTAAACTAATTAATGAGAGCGTAACTGTAGCTGCTTGTAGCACTGACGAATGTAAGCGCTGTCAACTGCAGTCTGAAGGACTCAGGGTAGTGTCTCTGTAATTCTTGCTGGTTGGGTGTAGTTAGGAGATAACTTGGTATAGATGGTCTGTTAACCTTCTCAGGCTTGTAGGATGGCAAAACTTTATTTAACTTTGGCAGGAATGTGCTTATAAATTCCTATGAAAAGGTGAAATCCTGCTTTCACAGGAAAGAAGACCTAGAGGTTCTTAGAGAACATGTTGCCAGAATCTTGGAAATAAACACAAGTTTTCTGAATGAGGGTTAAATACAATGTCTGGACTCCTACTTGTATCTAAGTATCTTCCACTAAGAATGGAGCCTGCCCAGCTGCCTTCTGTTCTGCTTTCTCTCATATTAAGGCTCACATTAAGTTTGTTCATAGTGCCATTGTCCCTTTCTGTTGTACTTTGCCTCCATTTGTGAAAGACTTGCCAGCCAGTTGGGTCTGAACTCTGAAAAGGGGAATGAGGATGAGGAGGGCTGTGACAGTGCACTGTAGTTATTTAGAAGGTTGCTAGACTTAATGGATCTGCCACTGCAATCTATTACCAGCAAAATGTTACGTATAAATGTTTCAGCTAGTAAGTAATTGTCACATCCACTACATACTGCTTGAATGTCTGGGGCAAATACTTGTGTAGTGGAAGAGAGGAAACTTGTTCCCATACAGAGCTTTTAATCCGATTTAAAACAAAACAACAAAAAATCCCAGCCCCTCCACATACAGACAAGAAAAGCATAAGGCAGGTGATCAATATGGGAAACACTGAAATTTAACCAATTGGGCCTAACAAGTAACTGAAAAATAAATCTGAATAGTGGAAAGATTAAGTAAGGTCCATCTGCCAGGACCAGGTGTTATTGTGGATTGTTAATAAGTTCTAATGGCTCACAAGCAATCTAAGTATGGTATAGGTATTTAGGAATTCATTTTCCTAATGAAAGGGAGACAAATTAATACAGATTTTGGGGATTGTTATTGGAGAAACTTAAGCTTGCAGCATGTCAATGCTCTCCTTCTTATTTTGCAAGTAATTTAAGTCCTTGGTAGACACATGGTTCCTAGGACCTCCCTGTCACTGAAGTTGCTAAAAGACCAAATTAAGGGAGTTCTGTTGGCTACTGCTATGCAGACTTCCCTCTTCTCTTCCCCACTCCTCAATTCCTGTTCCTGGAAATATTTGCTCGTGTCCAAACAATTTGACTACCTCAAATATTAAAACATAGAATATTAAATAATACTTAGTCTGCTATAGTTTCTTTTCTCCTTTGAGACAAAACAACCTTGAAGTAGAAGACTTGAGGGCTTTTTAGTACTCAGTTTTTCTGAGTACCTAAGGGCTGAAATGCTGTGTCTTCAGTGTTGTTTTTTTTTGACCTATGAAATTACAAATACTAGTAGATGAACTGAAGACAGCAGTTTAAGTGATAAAATTAATTATAAAAAAATGTGGTGGGAATGGGTCTGTGGCTTTATTTTTCACCAAGAAACCAACTTAAAATACTTAAGTCAGATAGGAGGTGTCCTGTTTAAGTGTTAGAAAATGGCTTGCAACAACAGACTTTCATGACAAACTAATTTTTTTGAATGTCTGAACCATATGGACTGGAAAAGAAAATAACTGCAACACTATGTATACTTGTCTCCATACATTTCTACATATACTACAAAAATGTATTCCTGTAGGAAAATTGACAAAGAGAGAAACTATAAAATCAAGTTGTGGTGCATACTATTAACTTGAATTAAAGAGCTGTGCAGAAACTCATGATTCAGAGAAATAATACATTGACCTAAAACTGTGCTGTTAAATTTTTGCAAGTCTATTGACATTGTTTTCCTCGGTGCAAAAACTTTCCTTTTCTTATTAGACTCGGATTTATTCAAAAACAGTATCTTCTCAGGCAAGAGAGCAATTAGTTGACTTGTTTGTATTTGTTCTTCATAGTGAACATGTGATTAATACTGAATTGTATTAAAAATGTAAATACTCTATTTTAATGTTACTCTATGAGAACACAGCTACATAAAAAGTGAATTGGGCTTGACACATTTCTTTAAGTTAGGTTCAGTCTGTTAATCTCTTTTTTGTGATTGTGTCCCCTCTAGGTTCCTGTGTTGTTCGAGATGCCACAGGAAATGTTAATAACACCATTGTCACCGAGCTGACAAATTGCACTACTGCAGCTTGCAAATTAAACTATGATTTCTCATCCTGTCAGACAGGGTGTCAGTATGGGCTGATGAACAATTTCCAGGTATAAAACTTTCTCCTAAATGTGTTTGTTCTTTTTTTGAATTGCATATTAAGAAAAATTATAGGCTAAAAATGCGTATTTCCATAACTATGAGCTTTATGTGGAATAGTTAAGGGGTACACTCTAGCTAGTATGGAGAAGAACAGTGTAGCGATGTTAAACTTCTGGATATTTATACACAGGTGGTATAAATATTTATTCTTCTTCTGAGTAAACTGCTTAGGTTAGGTGGTGGGACTGCAACTTCCTCTCTTTATATAGCTGAGTGTCATCATTCAGTGGTGTGGATAGAAGTCCGTAGTGATGCATAGTATTTATAGGTAACTTCTCAATAACTTGTTCTTAATTGTTTACGTTTCTTAGAAAATAGGCTGACCTTTTAAGAATGTTTTATGTATTTGTCACAGTATCCTCTCTAATGGTAAGAATGTTGTGAATTTTCATATAACCTGTTACTGTGTTTAAATGTCCTCTACATGTTACGAGGTAATTCATAGTCTTCAACTTACGCTTCACAGTTAATTGGGATGTCTATGAACTTTTGGTAAGGGTTTGAAAGAAGCCCAGGAAAACGTTCTTGTTGCTGATTGACTTCAACTTGTTTTGTGGTAGTCCATCTTTGCCCTTAATTTTTCTAATAGGTGTACAAAAAGTTGGCTAGAGATTAAACTGATATCTACTAATGAAAAAGGTGTTTGGCTTGTGGGTTTTGATAAAAAGTCATGTGCTCCTTATGTATCTTACATGTTGGGCTGACAGCCTTACCTGCAAAACTGGGTGGAAGACCTCTTTTGTACACCTGTTAGGGTAAAATACATTTTTATAGTGGAATAATTTGAGTATCTGTGTGGTGTTACTTTGTTCTGGTTTAGAAAAAGTCTCTATTTGGAAACACTGCAGAATTGCTTTTGTGGGAATAATTATTCTGCAAAATCTGATTACTTTCCTCCTTTGTTTAAGCTTTAAAGAACCCAGTATGTCATCAAATGTATAGCTGAGAATAGCATAGAACTGGTTTCCTCTGATTGTATCTTTTTCTTTAAGCCATAACTTAAGGTTGTTTACTGTACATGCTGCTTGTATTTCTAATAAGTTAGTCATTAATGTTCTAGTTTCCTACAATTTGGTCTGAATAGTACTTCTGTCTCCCAAATTATTCTTGCTTCTCTCTGTGGAAAAACTAGAGGGTTCCAAATAGGAAAAATTGCTTGAAAGGCCAGGGGCTGTATGGAGAATGCAGTGCCCCCTTTTTTGTTAGGTTTTTGAAAACCATCACGGAGACTGCACAGCATCTCTAGGCAACCCGTTGCAGTGCTTAGCCACCTTCTCTGTGGAATTTTGTTTTTCTAATTCCCAGTTGGACTTTATCTTGCTGTTTGTTTTTTCCCTCATCCTCACAGTTTTTTCTGTGCATCTCTGAGAAGAGTCTGATTCTGTCTTTTCAGAAGATGTCAGAAGGAAATAATTTGCCTGAGAGGCTGTCTACCTATAGATAAACTGTCTATTTTCTAACTCAACTGTCCTCAGTTTAGTTACTCTGAATGGTAGATGTAACAAGAGGGTTTTTAATACATTCAGGTCATGGGGTGGGGGGGCTCCAGGCTTGTGTACCTCTAAAGCTTGCTATACAAACGTAACTTCTTTCTGTAGGTTAAATAACTGAAAACAAACACTGCACAACATAAATTAATCCCTGAAGTGAGTGAAGATTGTTGTATTTGTCTTACAGCTTGTAAGCATGCAGGTTCTGCTGTTGAAAGAGCTGGCTTACTCTCTGCACAGCCTGATGACTTTATTACTTTGGTATGCTTTGTGCTGCATTCAGTTCTTCTGGCAAAGAACTTATTTAAAGTTAGTACTTAAGCAGCTCAGGTTGTGAATGTATTTGGGCAGCAAATGGATGACTTGTAGTATGATTTACCCGTGGAAAGCCTGGATGATGCTGAAGAACTTAAAGCAAACTTCAAATGTTCATTGGTGAGAGAGGCTTAGTCAGACTTGTGTAGAAGGTTGTAGTCAGTGCACATGAATTACGGGTCCTCAGAGGCTTCAGGCTTTTCCCTGATCAGTGTTAGTGACATTTCTGTGCCCAGGCTGTCACCTGATAAAAGCATAACTTATTTGTTCTGGGCTTTGTAGGCTCTGCCTGGAACTTCCCTTGAGTAATTCCCTTTGGGTAATTTAAATGCAGAATTTGGTCAACTTTAGATGAGAGTTGAAAGTAGCATGAAACACCATTCCAGAAAGAGCGTAAACATTCTATTACAGCATTCCTTCTACAAATGAAGGCAGCAAAAAGTTAGGGGAAGGGAGAGTTGGAACAATGATTTGTCCATATTCATTGTAAAAATCTAACTTTAAAGAAGCTGCTCCTTGTTTTCATGTGGCATGCTTTTTCTGGTTCACGGTGGCTGGACCAAAGTATTGAAACTGTAGTCAAAATATGATATTTCATGATCTCAAATGTTTGAAATTTAAGAAACTGTTTTAACTGTAAAGGCAAACATGAGTCCCTGGTCAGCAGTAGCTATATTTCACTACACGGGTGCTAACAGGGCAGTTCTTACTAGATAGCTGTCCTTCTAATTCTCTGTGCTCTTACAAGGATGAAAATTTCAGTGCTATAGCTAACTGCATATATGGGCTCCCTGGTTTTGTGGCCATAAGGTTTGGACTATGGCATGTGTATTGGGTGGGGGAGGGAGGGGTGTAACACCCGGGCATGATGGTTCTGCTAGAACAGGTTGTTTTCTTATATTAGTAACCTGAGCCATAACTTACTGGCTTTTAAAATGGACAAACATCATCTGCATACATCTTACTCAGATTTCTCTCAAATTTATAAAACAGATGTAATATTCAAAACCAGATAGTGTAAATAAATGGAGGCACTAAAGAGAACCTAGAAAGATAATGTAAAATCTGAGTAACTTCTAAGAACGAAATTGCAAGAAGGTGATGCAAGCGTAGTAAAGTGAAGGCCTCAACATAATGTTTTCAGTTGGATAGGAAGAAAAGTGTTTGAGACTTCTACGTGGGTTCTGTCCGTAAGAAGTCCTTCCAGGGAAGGTTGATCAAGCCATCCTTGCAGGGAGGAAAATTTTCATACTGCTTGCACAAAAATTATTCTATGCTTATTTATGTTGCTGTAGCAAAAGTTTATTTCTAAACTATTTGTTGGTAAAGCATTTACACCCTTAACTTCTCTTCTAGAAATATAGTGTAGGGCGATTATAAATTGGCATTTACAACTGTAACTTTTTCTGTTGATAGTAAAACTAATTTAAAGCTGGGTGTAGGAGGTGTGGCTTAATGTATGTGTCATTAGTTTTATTCAACTATAAATAAAGGCCTGTTCTGCCATTTTTTGCTGTCAACTGCAAATATGCTTCAGGAAATTCCCTCTTTCATTCATTACAGTGCTATGACAGCTAGTTTGCTCCCATCTTGTGCACCTGCAATTGCTTAATTTCTCTTTTTAGGCAAGGCATGAATGAAATGAAACCCAATGTAGTGTAGAGATTCACTTGACTGTTTGAGAGACCCAGCAGTCCTTGTCCATCTGATCTGGAGAAAAATGCAAAATTTTATCATTAGTTTAGTCATAAGGACGTGAATAAAATTTCATCAGTCACCTGTATGTTGTTTCTGAGAGCATGTCCTGCCTAGTAAGATTGCTTTAGACAGGTAGATTTTACAACTTCAGGTGACAGTAGCTTAAAGACTGGACACTTTACATGATCTTTATTGCCTTCGTTCAGTCCCTTTCTGATACTCTAGGTGAGGCTGCCAAGAGGAAAGAGGGAAGTAATCAGTACGGATGCTGCAGAGTCTCATTCTGATACATTGTGCTTGAAGGACACCGTGCTGGGTTTGGTCCGTTGACTGAAAACATAGAATCATAGAATATCTTAAGTTGGAAGGGACCCATAAGGATCACTGAGTCCTACTCGCAGCTCCTCACAGGACTACCTGCAACTAAACTGTGAGCATTGTCCAGATGCCCCTTGAACTATGACAGGCTTGGTGCCCATTTCCCTGGGGAGCCTGTTCCAGTGACCAACCACGCTCTTGGTGAAGAGCTTTTTCCCCGATGTCCAGTCCGAACCTCCCCTGATGCAGCTTCATTCTATTTAAGATTTTTCAAGATGGTATCAAATTTTTAAACACTACCTGTCTTCAAGCAGCTTAGGCTTTTGCTTCATAAAGAAAAGTACTATATTAAACCATGACTGTTTTTTTAGATAGTTCTGTATCCTCATTCACTTGACACATAAAAAGCTGGATGCAGCTATGGTATGGAAGTAATCAGTAGAATGGTAGAAGGGGGTCTTTAGGCTATATGGCAATTAGACAGAAACTGTTTTGGTAGTAATTTGGGATTTTTTTTTTTTTTAATCTTATCAGCATTGTTCTTTGAACACTTAACTTATTGAGCATTTAGCATTTTGTTAGGCCTCCAGTCTGCCAAGAATTGCAAATTGTATTTCACTCACTGGGGTTACAAAGATGTCCTAGAATGTGACCTTGGAGAGATACAAAGCAAGTTTGTCCTGTCCTTGTGGTTTTGAATAAGAGACAAGCCTGAATTAGAGTGATGGAGCTGTTGAGAAAGACAATCAGCTTTCCCAAGATATTCCTCATTTCTGGTTTTTTTTTTTTGTCTCTTGGGCTTTCTGAGATCATGTTATTCAGCAGTAGGCTAGTCAAAAATATGAAACAAATTCCAATGTGTTTTTCTTCTGTGACTTATTTTTAATCCTCTTATGAGCCCGTGGAGACTTTAACTATTGTTTTGACATGAGGGTTACATATTTGGACTATATATTGTATGAAAAGCCACTTTCTCTTCTTCTGAAATTAGGATCTGTTTGTATGCCCTCATTTGTCCGTAGTTCATTCATTGTTATGAATGCCTGATATTCAAGCAGCTTTTATGTGGAGGGTAGGTATTGTTTAATTTTTCTGTTTGTGTAGTTAAATGTTGCCATCCATTTGTACAGCATACTTTTTCATATTATTTTTAAAAAATGATCAATTTGGTTTCAGGTGATGAGCATGGTATCAGGATTTGCACCACTGATTTCTGCAGGTATTTTTTCAGCCACCCTGTCTTCTGCATTAGCATCTCTTGTGAGTGCACCCAAGATCTTCCAGGTAAGGATGGAAGCAAAACCATAATCTTTTGAAGAATAATTTCAATTAACTTTTGAATAAGAATTTTTGGAAGGAGACTTTGACATACTGCAATCATGATATGATTCATACCAGTTGACATCAGTAGATTGATCTAATATTTACCTGTTTCTTAGAATGGGAAAACAGTGTGTTACAGTTACTAAATGTATCTAGACTATAATTTGTTCCAGATCTTATGTGTTTCTAGTTAGTTTAGAGATCAGTTGTGGTGTAACTGACATTACAGAAATCTACAAACTCCCTTAGATTTTTTTTTTTTTTTTCTGCAAGAAGCAATGGATCACATAAAAAGATAACTGAGTAGCTCCTTTCTCAAAGTAATCACAGAAGGAGACAACGAGAAGTAGAATCTGTAGCTGTGGAATCTTAATCTTCAGAGAATACGTTATCAGAATAATTGTGTACCAGTTCTTACATAAATCACTTACATTGATTTTTTTTTTTGTGTTCCTGAATGTATTTTGCTTTACCTTCTTCTTAACCATTTAATTTCATTCTCTGTTTTACAAGTTCTCTTTAATTGGGTATAATTTTAGTGTCCTCTGACCTTCTCTACCAAAAGTTCAGTAGGGAGTCAAACATGGAAGGAATTTTGTTGCAGTATAGAAACACAAGTATTGATGCAGATAAATAGTGTATATATTGGGCAAACTTCCCACTTTCTGAGAAAACATCATCTCTAAAGAAGGACTCTTTGATTATAAGACACCTGTAAAGTAAAATAGTCAATTACATAATAGAAGACCAAAGCTTGTTTTTATAGATAGAGATTACTGAAGGATAGAATATTGGAAATGCAAAATGTCAAGATGCAAAGACAGTTGAAAATAGAATTAGTACACAATGGCTATAAACATTCTTCTTTCAGGAGTATAATATGCGGTGGAAGACAATATTAGTAAGCGTTAGTAAGGATACATTTTGAGCAAAATGCATGCTGACTCTTTAATTTTATTTTTTCTTAGGCATTGTGCAAGGACAACATTTATCCAGGATTTCAGATGTTTGCTAAAGGCTATGGGAAGAACAATGAACCACTGAGAGGATATCTTCTAACATTCTTAATAGCTCTTGGATTCATACTAATTGGTTAGTCTAAAGTTATAATAAATCTCACTATCCTTTTGTCCTTTACAAAGCATTCTATTCTATATCATGACTTGATGACAGTGTCCTAGAGGTCCAATGAGCAGCTTAATTTTAAGCCAGCATTCTAAATCTGTTTTTGAGGGTTACTTTCTCCTACCTTCTAGATATAACTGTCTGGAACTGCAAGAAATTTGAATTGAACTGTAGCAATATTGTACTTTTCTTAATAACCACAGGTACCTGTCTTTAGATACTATCAGTCAATAAAACCCCATCTTTATCTTGAGGTATAGATATATCTTGTAAATATGAAAGTTTATTCCATATTTTTAATAATTACAGACAGCTTCAGTAGATGACAAACTTCCATGAATAATACTTTTTAAAGTGTGTTTTTCTGTTAAGTTACGAACAGTAGAGATGAGTGCTGATGCTGCTGTTGCTAAAGGTAAAGATAGTATAGGTAGAATTGTATGTTCTATGTAGATAATAAACTAATTGTGCTATGTCCATTCATGAGTCCTGTACCTAGCGCTTTTAAGCTTTTTTTCCCCAGTTAGCTCTCTTATCCTTTCCCCAGTTCTGCTTAAGGCACAGGTATACCCTGTCCCTACAGCAGCATGTGGACTGGAAGCTTGGTTACAAGTAGAAACTTGCAGACTAACATGGCACGTTCTGCATTTTGGTCACTTTTTTTCATGGTGAGAGTACACAAGTAAACGTTCTATACCTGGCTGCTTCAAGGAAAGGAGAGCATCAGATTCTTCCGTCTTTTGCTAATGAGGGTGTACGCATCACTGTTGTGATGGTATTGGTCTGTAATAATGCGCTATGCTGGTACCATTGATGCAACTTTTCATTTAAAATGCAGGCAGATGAACATGTTTGTCACAGTACTCACACTAACTTTGTCTGCTGTTGCCATTCACCATAGTTGATTGTCTCTTAAACTTACTAATATCTTGCTCTTTGGTGTTTGATGATTGGCCTAGAGATGTACTGCAGATGTTTTAATGCTCTGTCTGCTGTTTCTGACATTCTTCAGAATCCACTGTATTGTTTGATCAAGCTATGGTGGGAAAGAAATTTTGTCAATTAATTATTTTGAGAAAGTATGTGGTGCTTCGGAAGTTACAGTCTTGGAACACTTGGTAGAGTGGATAAATGTTCATATTTTTAAAACTGAATGTTGCACTTCCTGACTATTAGAAGATAATTTAGTAAATAGGAGAACATTAAGATGATAACTCTGTTGAACAAAAAGGACAACTGCTTCTCCTTACAGTACATCTCAAAATAGGGTTGTTTGTAGCAGATTTTTTTATTCAGTAACCTGCAAAGCCATTGGATGATATCTTTCATAACGGCCTGCTTTGTTTTTGGCTTTACAGCTGAACTGAACGTCATTGCTCCAATTATTTCTAACTTCTTTTTGGCCTCATATGCCTTGATTAACTTCTCTGTATTCCATGCTTCTCTTGCAAAATCTCCAGGTAAGAACTACATTTTGGGCTTGAGAGTTTGGTGTACAGTTTCTTTATGCATAAACACAATTTAAAAGGTATTAATATAAATTAATAGTTTAATAGGTTAATTTAGTTACTAAGTATCTATTTGACTCTCACGGTACATCTGAATTACAAGCATAAATACGGTGTATACTTGTGTCCTCTGAAATTTTGAGGACTAAGTGATCCAGTACAGCTTGGGAGCTAACAATTTTGTCATCTTTGCTGAGGGAAGACAAGATAACTCAGTGTTTATTCTGAAACTCTTGAAGAAATCTTTCTTGCTAATTCAGTGTCTGATGTTCAAGAACCACCCTTTTGTTGTCTTTGAATTTTTCTGTTAATATGTTTCATCTTCAAGTCAAGAAGAAACTGGAATTGCAGGTGCTGTTGCCACCTGTGTTTAGCCTTTGGTGTGGGGAGCTAGTTAGATTATCAGAATAAGCCAAAACCCAGTACATGCAGAACAGATATGTATCATACCCAGTCCACTGTGCATTTGTACTGAAATAATACCCTTAAAAGCTTCTTAAATTGCTGAACTGGTAGATACCATTATTTTGCCAGAGCATGTGCTTAACTCTGTTTACACAACACTTATGTGTCTAATCCATTTGTTAGTCTTGGGTGGGGTGTGTATATTTACCTGGATTTGGATAAACTTGTGTCAAATACGGACATAAACCAATGACAGTCCAGTATTTTAACATATTCAGATTCTACTTGGATGCATCTGTCCTTTTCCTTTTTATGTGGTGAAAATTTATGGCCATGTGAAAATAGTGAAAATACCCAACTAGAAACAGTTGGTAGTATTTGAGGGAGCAAGTCATGAGCTGATTATTTATGTTATACTGCCTTTCAAAGTAAAAAATCAATTGTTGGGCAAGCTATTACCAAAGGTTCCTGTAGCCTGATTCAGTAGACATACTGGCACAGGCATTTTCAAATTCTCCTTTTGAGATATGCTTTTAGAGAGCAAATTTAGGAACATTTACATATCTATGTAAGAAAGATGCAAATTCATTTGAATGGTGTTGGAAAATTGAAAGCATAAATGTGCTAAAGTCTTTATTTTTTACGTTACTGAAACTGTCACACATTCACATGGAATGTGATGCAGAACACTAGGGAAGGAAGAAAAGAATGGTGCCTTCCTTCTCTTGAAGTAGAGATTAAATTAATTCTCCCCATATTTTGACTAGGCTGGCGCCCTGCTTTCAAATACTACAATATGTGGATTTCTCTTGTTGGAGCTATTCTGTGCTGCATTGTGATGTTTGTCATTAATTGGTGGGCAGCACTTTTGACATATGTCATAGTTCTTGGACTCTACATTTATGTCACTTACAAGAAACCAGGTAATGTATACGGTTGTTTTTTTTGGTTGCAGTGGGGTTGGGGAGCGGGGGGGGAGAGGGATGTAGAAGAAGGAAAAAAGTGATAGCCTTTAGGATGAAGAAGAGAACTTATTTCTGTTTTGCCAACTAGTTCAAACTTACATTTCTGGCTTTTTAGTTGTAACAAAATGTAATTAAGCCTATGTAGTCACTGCT